GATGCTGCCGTGTCCTACCAGACATGGCCACGGCACAAAACACAGCTCTGGAGCTGCCAGAGGGCTTCCAGGCAGGGTGGGAGATCCTGTTTTGCAGAGTGTCAGCCAAGCAGTATATCAGCTCCAGCCATCTTTCCAAATACACGTTCCCTCAAAGGCAGCAAATGAATTCAGCTTGCTCAAACTCACATTCATTTCATGCCCCTGCTCCACAAACATTCAGGCTTTAGCTGTACAAACACTTCCAGAAAACATATTCCACATTTTCAGCCTGTGCTTTTCACTCTGCGTGTCAATAAGGCCTGAACTTTCCTGTCAATGAATTTGTCCAGCTCCCTCTTGGACCTGCTGACACCATCTCTCCAGCCTCCTGGGGCAGCATGTTCCCATGGATCACTACGTGCTGCATAAAGAGGCCCTTTTAAAGTGGCGTCCCACCAGTTTTGCCCCCTCGTTCTAGTATTAGGGGATTTAGTGAAAAACAGTACCACATTCAGCTTACCTACTGCCATCAAGCTTATGAAATCCTGCATTATATTCCCTCCCAGCCCCCTTCTCCTCTCCAAATATTGCTGACAATATTGCCTCCCTTTGATGCCGTAGCTGCAATCATTAGATTCAGGTAATCTGGCCCAATGGAGAGCAGTCATTAGACCACTTAGTTACCCGTAGTGAGCAGTTGGCCTAAAATTCTTCATTTGCTAGTTGTGAGCTAACCAGAATTTTATGCTCATGTCTGGGATAGACGAGGGATGGAAAGTCACATAAATTAAAAGAGAGAGGCTAGATTTTTTTAAAGCTGCTTTCTCTTGTAAAAATGTTATTTTTTGCAAACTGGCTCTGTATAATATAGAGAACAGCGAGTTACACAAGTTTTTGTGGGAATTAAGTTTTTGAAATTGCTACATGCAAGAACACAGACCAGCTGTGACCACGAAAAACACCCTGAGTCTTATCCAATTGACCACAGCTCACATGTAGAATATTTGTGATCAGTCCATTTGACTTTGGAAAAAACACACATCTCTGCTACATGGTTTATTTTACAGAGGGGGAAAAAAAAAATCTGTTTTCAGTGCACGAGTAGGACTATGAATAATTAGTCTGTCATTCTGGCCATCCGACTGAGAAACTGAAATCATTTTGGTGTGATAGGGGTTGAAGGAATATTTTTCTTCACTTTTCCTTAGACACGAAAAAGATATCACTGCCCAAAACAAGGGATGGAAAGCCTTACACAAAAGCACTAAACTAGTTTTCAGAACTGCAAAACTGCGCTTCTAAACCACTTTACAGGAAACAGTCCGTGAACCTTGAAGCATTTCTCAGAACTCAACAGCTGAGCAGAGGTTTCGTGATACCCAGAAGGAGCTCTTGCTGTGCTCTCCTGTTCCCAGGAACCTCGGGCACTTCTGCACTTTCCCTTGCCTCATGGGCCTTTAATGATTAATTCTAATAACGCCCTCAGCAGTAGGGAAACGGTCTTTTCCCCCCTCCACAAGTTGGGAAAGGTGGAAATAGGCCAAGGGACAGCCCTTAGCCCTCAAAGGGCACCTGCAGCCAAACAAGGTCTCCAGCGTGCGACTCCTCAGCAGACCATCGGGCTTGTCCTCTCCCAGCATGGGAGACAGATGACAAGGAACAGCAGTAGCTAGCAAAGGCTACAGTTATGGTGAAACTGTGCAGGAGCTGGAAAGGCTAGAGAACAGATAGCCAAGCTCAGTGCCCTCCCCAAGCCTCGCAGCCCTAGTAATCAGATGCCTTCGCTATAGACTCGCTTCTCAGCTAGCATAAGGCAAGCTTTCAAGAAAGCATCTTGATCTATTCTGTGTGTAGAGCAAGTTGACGGATGGCTATCATATTGATGGATAGATATAGATTGATACAAGCTAACTATAAAGCTCAAATGTTGGAATTATTTGGCTTAGATGTGAGATCTGAGAAAAAAAATAAAAATCAATCTCATGATTTTTGATGGAAGGGCAAATGCAATTTCTGAAAGTGGGATTTGGCAACACTTCCTAGCACAGCGTGGGGGCTCTCATCTCTTCCATTTACAGTCTTTTATTACCACACTAACTGTTCCATTTTTTTCCAGCGAAGGTAGCAGCCAACTCTGCAGGCTGTTTGCAAGCAGAGGATAACTGGCTCCCAAAAAATATAAGCTCCAGAGCCAGCTCCTAAGAGCATTTGCAGGATCGTCCTCCAAGTGCTCCATTTCCCGTAGACCATTTATTTCCGAGTAACCCAGTTATTCCTCCTCCGTTTGTTGTGACGCCTGCGCTGGCAACATATCCATAATGAGTCGGCCATGCATTACATCCTCATACAGCTTCACCCCACCCTCCTTTATCTGTTTATCCTCCCCCTACATCATCAGCTTAAGCCCAACGTTGCCCCATACAAGCTCCTTATCTCAACCTACTGTCAATGTGCTCAAATTCACCCAGCCCAGCCAAACTAGGTAAAAACTATTCCTTTCTAATTCGCTACAGACTCTGACAGACCAGAAAAAGAAAGAGCTTCTCAACAGTCCTCCATGTCACCATTAGCTGGGCACGAGCATCCCCTATTCTGTGTCTCCGCACCAGAATATTCAGGGGTTTGAGGGCAGGAAACTGGTTTGGTGCAGCTGTCCGTTCTTAAGCACTGCAGCTCAAGGAAAGGCAGAGAGAAGCATTTCAGGGCAAATATGATTCCCACGCGGTTTGTTTTCTCAGAAAACTTTACCTTCTTCAGAGCAGCAGGCTGAAACTCCAAGCTCCGTTCCTCCCACTGCTGGCCATCATTGTCAAAGAGGCAGTGAAGGGCTTAAAGAGATAGAAAAGTATTAGTTTATTAAATTGTATGTTAATAAAAGTCACTGACATTCTCCAAATCAAGATATGTAGGTGCATGATGTTACCAAACCCCAGTAATCAGATGTTAAAGCAAAGATGTGCCTCGCACAGAGCCAATTATAGCTTTGCACAATGTTCTGAGCACGGGAAGCCCAATGACCCGCTGGTCACGCCTTCCTCCCCTGTGCAATCACACTGAAGAAATACTTGCTCTCTTTTCCATTTCTGCAAAAAGATGTAGACAAAGAATAAAAGGGGTGTTACAGATCACCTGTCATATTTGGGGAAAAAAATGCACAATAGAAACAAGGCGTGATAAACTCTTTGCTTGAAAGGGAGCATGTTTCAGCTGTAAGGAATTCCTTGGTGCTGTTTTTCCAAGTCCTGAGAAAGGCTTTCACCAGAGATCTATACACAAGCGTTATTACAGCAAGCCATTTTGCAGGTAGGTATTGCTAAAATAACATCTGCAATGGAAAGAGACTTAGGAGGCGAGGAGAACTGGCACACAGGAGTCCCGAAGCAAAAACACCCCGTGACCCCATCACTTGCAACACTGATATCAATACATGGGAACCGAATCCCTTCGGCAAGTCAACATTACGCAGCCAGAAACTTGTGAAACGAGTTCCACAGGTCTGCAAATGCTGCGGCAGAGATGAAGCCGGAGAGCTGCGCACGGGGAAAAGACACCAGGGAAGAGCGAGGTTATGGACGGGGCACCAACAAATTAAGCCAGGAAGAAATTAAATCGAGAGGAAGCAGGACTAGGCAGTTGCAGACGATATCAGGCGGGCTCCTGCTGAGAGCTTCAAATCTCAGCTGTCGCAATGGCATCCTTTCCCGGCTCTCTCTGCCCCGCCGGGAGAGCAGCCACCCCACGCAGACTCCTCCTCACCGGAGGAGACGCTCAGCAAGATGCTCCCTTGCACGAATCAAATCAACCCAAGATGCCTCAAAATCTGACCAGGCTTCCCAGCATCACAGGTCCCTAAAGAGAGAGGAAAGGGAGTTTTCTCCATCTGCACATTAGCTGTGCTGTAACATGGGGAAAAGCATCTCCAGGAGTCGCCGCTCCTCCTTTGGGCCTGGCCCTGTTTCTCCCACATCTCCCCAGGACCTGCTGTCTTCCAGCTGGAGCCCATAACCACAGCGCGAGGTTGCACAACTGCAAACAGTGCGCACCCACAGCACACACTTCATTTCAAATCCAAAATTAACGCTGTTTCCCCAGACAGCAGGAAAAATGAGCAGCTTGGGGACTCTCATTAGATGAAAAGAGATTTCCTTCCGTTCTCTGTTGATTTACCAACCTAAAACTCTGATGGTGCTTGTTTGGGGAAGGAGAGGAAACAAAGGGGACTAACTTCTCCTCATCTGTCATTATAGGGATCGTCCTTGGTGCTTTAAAGACAAGTCCACTGGGCTTTGCAGGCAGCTTTTTAGCTAGACTGGCTCATAACAGGAAGGAAAAATTCACTCCGGTTGCTCAGCCATGCACTGTATGGATGCATTTATTTTATGGTATACCTGGATCCTTATGGTAACTTAGCACATTATGCCACCCCTTGGCCAAATCAGGAGGAGCTTTATCCAGCCCGGCAGACCTGCTTCGCAGCTGCCAAGGGCTTGCTGTTCGAGGTCCCATGTGCTCCCTTTGCAGTCACACCCGTCAGAGAAGTTTCAGGCCGGTTGGAGAAGTTTTCCCCACACATGAGGGTGGCAGGAACATTGCTTGATGGTGGATGGCCCAAAACAACAACGTTGTCCCAGAGCTGCAGCTCGTTTCTGAAAGCAGCTGCTGCCGGTGCTCAGCCCCGCTGGGCTCTGCCGACCCGCTCACTTCGCCCCACAAAGCGCCCAGTCTTCCTGTTCTTGAAATGCTTTTTCTCTCCCTCCTCTCTGGAGCCTGCCACCCTCACCTCTATAAACCAGGCCAGTCTCAAAGCAAAAACCCTCCCCATCGGCCCATTGGAGACAGGGGCGTTTTTTCCTAAGGGGCATGGGCTGGGGAAGAGCTCAAAGGGCACCTCTGGAAAGTGGTGTCAGCAGCCGATAAGGGCCGTGTTTGCTCAGACATACAGAACATAAGTTCATGGTTAACTAAGCAAGAGAAAAATTAATCACGCTTACACAGGCAAGGCTATGAACGGCCCCAACGCACAGAGCGCACTGCTGGCAATCGCCTTGTGCAAGTGAGACACGCTTAAATAGCATCTCTCCCTCCATAACGCAGCGTGGCATTTTCGCAGACGTCGCCCCAGAGTTTCCCAACGGGGCCCTATTCCAGAAAGGATCTCAGAGACCCGCCAAGATTTCGGTATGCTGCCGGAGCATTGCAGAGGTAACCGCTCCCCGTCCTGTTCCAGCATTGCCGGCAGCAGTTTTCCTGCATTTTGCAATGGCACTTTTCCTCTGAACCCCAGAGCATCTTCCTGCAGCGTGAACCATTAGCGGGGCCTCCACAGAGCTGCCAAAGTTGCTGCGAGTACTCCCCAAAAACATTGGGCTCCTTGTGGGGAGCGCTGCGAGCCTCGGACATGCCCTGTGCCAGGGAGCCCTGGACACGAGGCAGCCCGGCTGTGACCACTGCAACTGTACATTCATTGCAGGTATCAGATTAAGTTTACAGAAAACACCCCAAAGAGTCTACCTGGACAACCTTTCTGGGTGGGAAAAGGGCATGTTTCAATACGTGCACAGGTGAAGCCCTGCAGGGACCCACAGTACATCCCCTTCCACTGCTGCCGGCGGCGTCCAGACCCACAGAGTGTGTTATCCACCTCGTCCCAGGAAAACACACATAGGATTAAGAATACTGGCTTTCAGCTAGGCCCTGCTGTGTCCTTGGATACATTACAGCCAATGCATTTTTCACAGCCGTGAGGGTGCTGCACTGCTCAGTTAGAAAGCATCTTAGTAAAAGTGGTAATTGCAAATGCACGCTGCCTGTGTGGCCTCCCAGCCCATCCTTTTCATTAGGGAAGAGGGGAAAAAAAAAATCATCATATTTGACCCTCAGTATAAAGGAAAATATAACATGAATGCACTCATTCACCTGGTGCCCTAGCAATTAGAGGGGACTCCAGCTTAACTTCAGTAAGTCAAGGATGGAAAGCTTTCAAAAGCCCACACCAAAGGGAGTAACTGGATGGGTTTTAAAAGGAGCAAGCAAATCTTTGCCCTAGAACAGCTTAACAGTACCATCTGCTGGAGAAAGCCTGAAGCAGCAAGAGCAAATCTGGGAGGTGTTGCAGAGGGATACAGGAAATACCACTGTACAAGGTAAAGATGTAATAACGTGGCTACGCAGGATTAATTTTCCGTAGACAACTGAATTTTCAACCACTTATCAGTAGGTGCTCAGCGAGGATGAAATCCACGCTAAGACTGTTGCCAGCAGGTCGAGGGAGGCGATCTTCCCCATCTACTCAACCCTGGTGAGGCCTCACCTGGAGTACTGTGTCCAATTCTGACAGTACAAGAGAGACATTCCCCAGTACAAGAGAGACATCAAGAGGATGAGGCCAGTCTCTTCTCCGTGGTGCCCAGCAACAGGACAAGAGGCAACAGGCACAAACTGAACCGCAGGAAGTTCCACCTAAACCTAAGGAAAAACTTCTTTCCTGTGAGGGTGACAGAGCACTGGAGCAGAGAGGTCGTGGAGTCTCCTTTGCTGGAGATATTCAAAACCCGTCTGGATGTGATCCTGGGCAATATGGTCTAGAGGACCGTGCTTGAGCAGGGAGGTTGGACTAGATGATCTCCAGAGGTCCCTTCCAACCTCAACCGTTCTGTGATTCTGTGAAGACGGAGCTGCTTCATTCTGGCTTCAAGGCCAGCATCGGGGGCAGCAAATGGGCTGCGCGCACGGGACATCCCGCAGACTGACTGCCCCGAGCTCTGCTCGGAAAACAAAATAAGCGGTGGCCTTCGCAGGCAGCACAAGCTCATCACAAGGCAAGCAGGCAGACAACATGAACCGACCCGGGACAGCAGCATCATATAATCGATGGCTTGGGTGGAAAAATTTCCCTTGCTAAAATACTGCCCAGGCAGGGACAAGTCAAACCAATAACCAAGGTCACACGAGGACTGTGTTTCACATGCTGGAGAGAACGGACTTGCCTGTCAGCAATAATCATCTCCAATTAAAGCAATTTCATAGCTGGCCATTTTAAAAATAGAATTCCAACATCTGTATTAAAGAAGGAATTGTTTGGAGAAGCCCTGGATCAGAACAGAGGAAATATTAGTCTATTAGTGCTGCAGCTCTGTAAATTCCTAAAATCACACACAAATTCCTAAACACATCCATTTTCAAACAGGTTTTGAGTGTTTAATTAGCGATCTTTCTAGAATCTGCAGACAAAACATTAGCTTTAAACAATGCACTGGTTTCATTGCACTTAAGCAGCGTAATTACACAGCTCCATCCTGGCGCTGAATCAATTAAGCACGCCTGCAACAAAGAACAGTGGAACTAAAACTAATGTTGTAGCAGGAGCTAAATCACGGAGATTATTTGGAATGAAAGGCTGCTTAAAGAGACCGAGGCGAAGTTTATTTACACTCGTGAACGTCACTGAACTGTACCGTGCAACCTGCTCAAGGAGATCCTGACCTCCTGCTGTACCACATCAAGAAGCAGCAAATTAAATCCCTAAATCACAGGAGGCGTCTGCACTCCTGGAGCTCACGCTGTCCCCGGCTCTGAGCGGCTTGCTTAGATAAAACAAACAGCATATTCTATCAGAATTAGAGTTTTAAAGGAAAGCCTTGTTCAAAATCAGCAACTTCTTAACAGAGACGGAGTAAATAGCATTTACTATTTATAAAGCTGCCCAAACTATGAGCCAGAGCCGTGGCTACTGTAAACCAGGCACTGTTGACTCCTACTCAACTGTGACATCTTACAGACTCCTCCACAATTTGTCATGGCCACTAATTAGTTTATTAAAGTCTCCCTGGGAGTTGTGGGCTCCTGAGATGATGGAAGCTGAAGGGGGTTTTGTTGTTGTTGTTTTTTTAACATGCAATTCATTTTTCCATCTGTGATTTTGCTCCTCCACGCTTGGCTCAGCCCAGACGGCAGGAAAGCGCTGGCTTGTTCTGTCTTTGGATCGAGCTGTCCTTGATCACGCACCAAATACCTTGCTGCAGCTACATGCAGACTGGGGATTTTTCACCAGACGTTAATGGCGTTTGTTTATTAACAGAAGTAATTGTGAACCTGACTGTTCTGAATTCAAGCCTAAATGTGTTTTCAGAGGCTCTGAAAACATATGTTTTTTTTAAACATTGCTCAGGCTGTTGGGCTCTGCAGTAAAGCCAACTCTGGGACACTTTAAGCATAAGACTGTTGCTATTTGGAAGCACTCATGGTGTCCACGGGGAGGTACACTTTGGCTGTGAGCTCTTGGTCTTAGCAAAGGGGAAGCAGGACATCACTTGGGAGTCCTTGGCACAGGGATCCCAGCCCGGAGAGGAGAAAAAGGGGTAGGAAGCAACCAAACGTGATCTTCAGGTTGTTGCTGTGATGTTTGCTCACGTGCAAACATGCTGCTTTTCCACCATTGTTTGGCACAAAACAGGCAGCTTTTGCACAGAGCAGCACAGTTTGTGAAAATTTCATAGTCAAAAGTTTAGTGCTTCCCCTCAAAAGACCACTTTATCAAAATATTTTCCTCTATTAAGTTATTTTAATATGCCTCCAGACACCATTTAAATACCATTTCCTTGGAAACTGAGCAGCTTGCACTAGGAAACTGAAGAGTCTCCATCCAGCATCTCCCCAACCATCCCATTAAGATGGGAACAATTAGAAAAAAGAAAAACCTCATTAAAAAATCCACAGTTCTGGTAAATTTCCCAACATTAAACGGAAAGCTACTCCCACATTGGACCCAAAATGATCAAATCGGGGAGCTGCAAGTCATAGCGCGGTTCCTCCTTCACCGGAAGGCCAATGGGAACATCACCACTGAGCAAGGGAGGCGGCTTCTAGGTACCCTGACGTGGGCCAAGAGTTAAAACAAACAAACAAACAAAAAAAAATCACAGCAGCCTACTGTCCACCATGAGGCCACGACAGCACTCAGCAGCTAAGAGAACTCAGCTTTCCAGCATCTTGCTAGGGAATCCTGCAAGGATCTGGGGAGGAAAGCAGCCTGGCTTCTCTCACAGCATCCCAGTGGCTGGTACAGCCCTGCAGAGCATTCCCATTGGAGCGGGTCGGCATTTCCCCATTGAAAAAGCACAGGCTGCAAGCCTCCGGGCAGTTTTTTTTAGAAAGTGCTGCCAGCAAAGGCCAGAGTTGGTGGTGTTTTGGAAAAGTCACTCACTTTTTCAGGTGTCTGAAACAAAATGTAGGAGCCCACCAAGCTCCTCCTTTCTCAATCATCCTGGCTGCATAGCACATTAGCTGCTATTTGGCTTCCCATCTGACAAATCGGAGACAAATTTCACAGCATGTCAGAAGCCCAGGGGCCCCTGTGCCACCCTTGCTGCCAGGGTACGTTGAGGTAGGGTCACTCCAGGGTTGGCTCCACCCACCTCTTTCCAGACTGGGGCAGATGCAGAACACCAAGAGCCTCCTGCTTCAGATCCTTATTCTTATCTCTTTTTTTCCCCCTACCTCAGAGTAATAATTCTACCTTTTTTTTGGTGCTCAGGCCTCACAGAAATAAAGCAATTTGATTGCTTCAGACGGACAAGCAAAGCCTGGGGCATCCTGAAGGACACTGGAGAGAGGTGGAGACTGGCCACTCTTGCCCAAGCAAGAAGACCTGGAAAATTCTTGTTTGGCCTTGCCAGGGTTGCTATTTCTGGACTTTTAATGGTGCAAAGCTTTCTGATGATGCCCTGTCCCAGAAGGT